AGCCTGAGAGAGCCGGAGGTTAGTGCCAGCGCCACACACGCACCCCCCGGGCCGGGGCCCAGCGCCCGCCTGCCCCGCGCGCCAGCTCAATGCAGCCCCCACAGCGAGGCTGCCGACGCCGGGCGGCCAGCGCCCTCCGCGCGCACATGCTCACACACATTCGCAAACACGCGCGTACACACACACGCATACTCGTGCACACGCATCTTTATGCTCATGCACGCACCAACACGTGTGCACATACACATCCTCGCATATGTTCAGAAATATGCACACACACGCACTTGCTCTCACACACTCATCTGCATGTACACATGCTTATGTTCATACATGCACGCACACTCAGACTCACAAACATACATGCATGAACATGTGCACACATACTCACACCCATGTGTGCACACTCACCCCTGCACACAGGCGCGCACACACATACACACACGTGGCACAAAGCACCACGGCCCACAGGGTCACCCCCCAGCAGGGCAAACAACTTGGAACCGTCCACGGGCTCCGGCCCGAAGCTGCCCAGACACTGGGCCCCGGCCCCGCACACGGCAGGGCCGGGAGAGGGGCACAGGACAGAGCGAGCCATGCAGGGAAGCAGTGGGCGCAGCACTGCCCGACAGCGTGCGCGCAAGGAGCCACGTACCTCCGCTCGCCAGTGCTGCGCACGGTGCGGAGCGCACGGGAGAGAGAGATGGAGAGAGACAGACAGAGACAGAGCAGTTAGGAGAACAGGAGGGTCCCGGCGCGCTCAGGTCCCGGCACATGGCAGCAGAGGTCCGTGCCACCCGCATGGCAATGCCCGGGGGGTCTCCCAGCCTGACACGTGGATGCGGTGCAGAGCGTGGGCACCGCTGACAGCCCGCATTTGGTCGCCTGGCCCGGGGGGCAGAGGCCAGTGCAGCCCCCAGGGCTGGATGGGGCAGGTGCGAGGGGACACGCTGAGGCACAGGGACCCCATTCCCACGCCCTGAGGGTCCCCCGTGCCGGGGCCTGGTGCACGCATGGAGCAAGGAGGCCCACCCTACCCCACGGCCACAGGCCTACAGCCCCCAGTGAGGTGTCTGGGCCCCCAGCACCATCAGCAGCCCAGCCTGGGCAGGATCAGGGCCAGGTCCTGGGTCCTGGGGCAGAGGTCGGTGCGGCTGTTTGGCGTTTCCATTCAGTGTGCAGGGCACCGGGCTGGGCGCACGAAGCTGCGCTGACACGTCTGCGTGTGCACGGAGCCACGTGTGGGGGCAGGGAGCCCGGCTGGCGCGTGCCAAGCTGGGGAGCAGGCCCCGCCGTGGGGCACGCAGCAGCACGTCCCTGCACGGTTGAGCCGAGGCGGGCACGTGGCCCAAACTGCGCCAAGCAGGGGAAGGGGGAGCAGACAGGCGGGGTGCTGAGCAGGGTGGGGGCAGAGGAAAGGTATCTGCCCCCCAGGAAGAAAACTCCTAGCTTGTGCGAGCAGCGCCCTGGGGAACTCCCCGCTGCAGGAAAGCCAGGCGCTGCCGGGAGGGGGGGCAGGCTAACGAGGTCAGCCCGGCTCCGGCTGGGGGGAGCCAGCCCCTGCCAGAGCCAGCCGGTGCCAGCCCCATCCCCGGAGCTGGGTGGGAGTGGGCAGGAAGAGGGGGGCACCGCGGACGTCCTGGGGCAGGACGGAGAGCAGAGGAGAAGGGCAGCAGTGTGTGCTGGGGCGGGAGGGCCACGAGCCCAGCCTCGCCCCTGCCCATCAAAGCCACGCGAAAGGTCCCCAGACGCCCCGGGCCAGGGCACAGCCACGGATGCATGCAGCCTCTGTGCTCCCCGCCGTGGGCAGGGGAAGGCGGCCAGCTGGCACCGGCCAGTGGGAGGTGCTTCCTGGCGCCTGGCTGGGAAGGGCAGGGGGGCGCCCCGCCGGGCTGAGACCCCCGTGCCCCCCTTGCACGGCGCAGGGAGCCGGGCCCACCTTGGGGCCGCACTCAGCCCCTGGCCCATTCCCAGCCCCTCCGCCACGAGCCCTGGGTGCTGCCCGCTGCATCCCGGGGCAGGGACTGGCTCCTTGTGCTCAGGCGCCACGTGCTCGTTCACGGGTGCTATGGATGTGCTGCCCACCCCGCGCCCATGGCGTGTCGTGGCTCTGGCTGTGGTCAGGGTCAAGGTCCAGGTTAGAGTCAGCCCCTCACACCACCCCGGCTGCTCTTCCAGGGAGCAGAGGACAAGCCCAAGACAGCACAGGAGAGGAGAGAAACCAGACAGCGGCAGAGGCGAGTTGCAGCAGATCACCCGCTCTCCCCGTGGAGCAAAGGACTCCTGGGGGGCGGGGGGAGATGATGGAGCGGAGGGCGGGGGCCGCGCTCCCCTACCTTGATGAGGTGCTTGTTGACCCATTTGGTGAAGGTTTTCTTCTGCACCCGGTCACGCTCATCTGCAAAGAGGAGAACAAGGAGGGGGATCAGCCCAGAGCAGGGGAGTGGGGAAGCCCATGGTGACTCATCGGCACAACGGGAAGGAAATGGTTAAGTGACTCAGCCAGACGGTGCCAGGCCCCGTGGCCCCCCCCCCTGCTGTGCCAGGCAGAGCCTGCCTCCAGGCTCCCCCCAGCCCGGACCGGGGTGCAGGGGTGTCCCAACACACCTCCCTGCGGGCACAGGAGCCGCCCGGCCTTCCCCGGGTCCAGCCTGCTCCGGGTCGGGAACCCTTTCCCCGCCCAGCAGCGAGGGCTGACTCAGACTCCGGCCTCCTCTGATTGCAGGGGCTGCGGGAGGGAGGACGGTGCCGCACCCCAGAGAAGGGCTGAGCCCTGCCCCAGTCCAAGGCCACCAGCAACAGCCACCCGCCCCATCACACTGGGCACGGCTGCAGCCTGAGGGCCTTGAGCCCGCTGTACCGGACCCGTGCCCTGGACACCGGGGTCCCGCCCCGCACCGCGCCGCTGGGCCTGGCTGCTGGGAGGGCGGAGAAGTCGGAGCCTCCCAGGAAGCGACGCAAATGCATGAGAGCAGAGAAGCAGGACGGGTGCGAGGGCTGCCCCCCGCGGGGCGCCGGGAGCCACTAGCAGCCCTGCCCCGCTTGCCCGCTGCTCGCCCCCGAGGGCGGCTTCCCATCTCGGCCTGAAGGACAGCTGCCCCAGCCCCTGCAGCCGTCCAGGTACCACTGCGGGCCCAGCTCCAGCCCGCAGCACCCTGGCCACACGCTGGCACGGCCCCAGCCCCCGGCCACGGGACCCCCGAGAGCAGCCCTGCCCCGCTTGCCCGCTGCTCGCCCCCGAGGGCGGCTTCCCATCTCGGCCTGAAGGACAGCTGCCCCAGCCCCTGCAGCCGTCCAGGTACCACTGCGGGCCCAGCTCCAGCCCGCAGCACCCTGGCCACACGCTGGCACGGCCCCAGCCCCCGGCCACGGGACCCCCGAGAACACGCATGGCCCTGCAGACACGGGGCCCAGTGGCAGCTCGCCCGAGCCACCAGGCACCCCTCTCTGCCAGGGCACCCGCCAACCCCAACCCGGTCCCAGCCCCAAGCCCGGGGTCTGCGGCCAGGGCGGGCTGGGGGGGCAGGGTCGGACAGCAGCAAGGGGAAGCAGCAGGCAGGATGAGCATGTTGTGCACACCCAGGGGAGGGCACACGCGTGCGCGCACATGCATGCACGCTGCAGAGCCGCGCCCTGGCTGGGCGTGCCCATGGGGCAGTGAACAGAATTGCAAATCGGGCCTGCAAGGTGCTTCCCCTCCACCCCCCTCATTCCAGCCAAGTCACAGCCCCCGCGCAGGAAACGGCTCCGGCAGGCAGGAAGGCTCCTGCACCCGCGCCCACCGGCCCAGGCACACGAGCGGGGAGGGGCTGGGGGTCCCTGCAGAGGGGCGCGCTCCTGGCCTGAGCCCCCCAGGCCGGGGCAGCAGCGATACCCGAAACCCGCGAACCCGAGTGCATGGGGACCCCCGACAGGTCCCCCGCGCCCCGCAGCTCTCCCTGGGCAGGGTGGGGGCTGCAGCCAGGCCGCGTCCCGGGCAGACACGGGGCTGGGACCCCAGCAGAGAGCCCCCAGGAGCGTGGGGCAAGGCAGCCCCCCACCGCACCCGCAGGAGCAGCTCGGACAACGGGGCCAGAGTCAGACTCAGCCCCCCAAACCCCGCGCAGAGTGGCGCCTGAAGCCCCCAGCCACGGCACGGCCCCACATGCAGCCCCGGCGCCTCGGAGCTGGGCAGCCGGTGCCGCGACATGATGCTGCGCCTGCCTCGCCGCCACGGGAGCCCACACTACGCTGCGCTGCGCTGCACCGCCCTGCCCTGCCCTGCCTGCCTGCGCGCGCCTCTGGAGAGCCTCTCTGCTGCTGTGCTCCGCGCCTCTGCCCGGCGGTGCCAGGCCTGCCCGGCCCTGCCTCCTCCCAGAGGTGCGGCGAGGTGCGGCCCAGGGGCGGGGAGGAGACAGGCTCCCGCCCCGGCTAGGGCGACAGGAAGCCTCAGCCAGCAGCAAATGCTGGGAGCCGCAGGCACTGGGCTTTGGACTTAACTCTCTCCTCCCCCGCGCCGCGGGCAGGGCAGCCTTCGGCGCCGGGCAGGGCAGCTCTTTGCGGGGGCGTCTGGGGCACCCCCGCCTGGCACCCAGCCGGCCGGGGTAGGGAGCAGGCCGGGCCGGCCCAGCGCCAACCCCCAGGCCATGCCTTCAT